TTACACCCGATTTCAAATGAGTGCGAACTCTCGAATTTTTTTTCGGACGCTAAACTTTCACTCGACCGTCATTCACTCGACCACTTGGTAACCTGGCACAGCTTGAAGCGGGTAAAATTATCCAAGTATAAAAACCATGGTTAATGTATGTCTGTGGGCTAAATTCCTACGGTTTGTGATCGCACTACAAAACGAACTTATTGTAAAAACTAGTTTCGGTTTACTTAACTTTCTCAGTTCACAATTACAACGAAACAGTTGAAAAATAAATAGCATGACAAACACTGACAATTAAGTGCGCACTCTTGAAATTGCTTTTAGTGTTCGTAGGCTGTTCTTTGTTGATTTTACTAGTTTACTGATTAAAATTAAGAGGTTATCGGACGATATTCGGTGGAGGGTTATATACCATGAACTTATTTACAGTTCAAGCATTAAGGGAAACTTGTAGAGCGTTATTTGTAGGGAAAAGATATGAATAGAAGGGAAAACTTGTTTGTAAAATTCGACAACTTTACAAATGTACAGGAAATGTTGCTGTACATACATGGCATGGAAGGCCTCGACTTCTCACATGTAAATGTCATTGTAAACTTGTATTCAATCAATCAGGGTTTTTACAGTAATACGAATAAGAATATATTTACTTTTAATTCTTCGAAAGAAGGTTACATTTAAAGGGATCCTCAGGTTCTTCTTAAGCTTAAGTTATATAATGTAAAAATTGCCGCTTACCAGCTTAGTTTGAGCCGATTTTACTCCATTAAAATACGTTGACGGGGTTCCTGTGTTAACGTGACGTAGAGCGTGACGTCAAGTAGTGGTTGCAGATTCCTGTGTTTACGACCATTACGAGCGAAATCATGGCAGAACCGTTCCAGTTTGAGCCAGAATTCGATGAAAATGAAATAAGAAGTGATGAGTCGAATAAAGGAAGTAATTCTTCGGAGGAAGAGACGATCAGAGATCAAGATACAAGGCTTGAAGATGCTTCTACATGGTGTAGTTGTGGTCAATGCGAAGTGCTAGAGACGGCCGAGATGTGTATTTGTTGTAAAAATCTCAGGTTTATTAACCACTTGACGCAAGGTAATACAGAAAAGAAAGTGAATATAAGACTAATTAAGAAATCCAAGTTGACAATACCTATTTCTTTCCTTGTTAGATATTGAATGTGTAACATATCACGAAGATTTTGAGCCTGTTTGTTTGAACCGAGGATCACTTTGGACAGCATTAGTTTCACTACACGATAGGGAAAGTGCATCACTCCCCAAGCCGGATAAAGTACCAAACGAGTAAGAATTATTCACCACAGAAAATACTTTGTATGTTATGTTATTGATTAATATGTTTTTATTCATCTCATAGATCTCTACGTTACGCTGCCTACAGACAGTTCACRTGGTGGAAGCATGGTTATCTAGGGAAAAACATTAGGAGAGTCATACCAGCATGTGCTGTATCMAAAATAAGATCCAAATATCCAGATCCAAATGGTCAATATAGAGGCTTTGTAAATAATGACAATGAATCAGATGTAGTGTGGGAATTTTGAGTACTCAACTTAAAATATATATACAATCATGTAGCTAGAGTTGAATATCCAAAAATATACTGCACCTTTCAGTAGATAACAATGTTTATGTTTCCTACAAGAAGTTATTACCATA